GGGGGGGAAATTATATCCATTATTAATGATTGTTTCAACGTTTCCATGAGTCTTTTCCATTTGAATTATTTTGAGACCAAATAAATTATTGAAAGCGCTACAAAACAGTTTTCCAGTAGAGGAACCGTGGCTGCAAATTAAACAATTCATTGATATTTCCCTGCACTTTCAGGAAGCAGGAATGTTTTTTTGTTTCCGCCCACGTTTCTATATCCAAACTAATAACTAGATTTTACAACTAGCATGAGCAAAAATAGCACTCTCAAAACATCCCAGATACAAAGGAAAGTCGCTCCCGATTCCATCCCCATCAAATCTTACTTTATATTTCATCTTTATATATAGATAAACAGAAACGAGAACTATGGTGTGCATGAAAAGAATGAGTCCTGGTAAAAAATAATAAGTGATGTAAAATCAGTTTGCATGGATGTACCTCTTAAATTTGTAGATGAGAAATACAGCTAAACCCAAAAACACCACAGACAGAAGCATCAGCATAGCAGAACTGCTGTGTCTCGGGATGGAGTCAACCAGCGGAGCTGTGACAAAGACAAACACAAGTGTTACTCCACACTGACTCTTTTTAATAAGAAAACCAATGTCTTTTATATCTTCATATACACGGCCATTCACGAGTGAATTAAAAAACAACTGATCTTGAATCATTATACAGACCATCTCCTGTGACAATTTCCAAAACCCCCTTCGGCTCTCTCAGAGGGACTTCTGCCAATTGTTGGCATCCCTTCAAAATCGTTCATGGGAGCCTTTCACCCACTGGCTATATATTTCCCCCGTGACTATGTTGTAGGAAGACAGCCCCATGAATCCTCTGACCTTTTCGAAAGAATCCTGAACTCTTTCCAGAACTTTGGCTACAAAAACGGGCCAAGGAGGCGGCCAATGTTTCTCTGTAAAAGTGCATGGGTAATAGCACAGACCGTGAGTCATATATCAGCTATAGAGTTTGCTCACTACTAGTCGATGCTATTATCTCTGCAAGGAATCAGTAACCATTACCAAGTTATTACAGAAAATGTTAAAGAAGCCAAATTATATAAATGTGGCATATGATGGTAAACAAAATGGCTAATACTGAATACAGGATAAATTAGAATGAATTCAGTAAAAGCATACATGACATCTTTTTATGGTATTCTGGTTCCATTTCAAATTATTTATTCATCTGGCCAATGTGTTTATCCCAAAAACAGTATTATCAGTATGTGTGTTCACTTGGCATCAAACAAATGAGTCTTTCCACCACCAATTACACTACTAGTTTAGCTACAGGAATTGATTCCACTTCATTTGGCTTCTTAATGCGTCTTTAGTTCATATAGCAATAGCAAAAACATATATTTTTTTAATTAAATACCTAGTGTTATGAATGTGAACATTTGAGTAAAAATGATCGTGTGAACAACTATGACGATCAGTATTGAGAGTTCAGTGAGAGAATCAAGAATCAATCTGATTCAAAGAGTGAGTTGCTAGATTGACTCAAACTGAAAAATATTGTTTATATATTTAAAAATGTGATTTCTGTGATGGCAAAGCTGACTTTTCAGCATCATCTCTCCAGTCTTCAGCGTTGCATATCGCTAAATCATTCTAATATGCTGATTTGATACTCTTATTAGCAATGTTGAAAACAGTTGCGCTGCTTAATACGTTCTCAGGATTCTTTGATGAATAGAAAGTTATTTATAAATAGACATCTTTTGTAATATTGTAAATATCGTTACTCTCACTTTTGATCAATTTAGCACAGCCTTGCCAGATAAAAGTACTGATTTCTTTAATAAAAGAATCAAGAAAAAAGTGTAGTGTAACTCACAAGTTTAAGACTTGTGATTCTTTCTTCTTTTTAAACCAAATGGTACAAAAAGTAATTCATTCCCAGTGTTTTGCAACCAGATCTGAATATGAACTGGTTCTCGATTCCCAATCAAAACAATAGACCAGAAAGTCTTATTCTTTTCAGTGCTGACTGTTTTTTCTTCTTCAAAAGTGGGGAGATCATGCAAGCCATGATTGCTGGAGAGCAATTATCCAATTATCTTCCATAAGGCTTTCAGCATCACTGGTGGAGCATAAAAGCCCAATCTTTCAACAATTTATAGTGCTGACAAGCTTCTGGTCTCTGGAAAGCAATCAACGTAATTACCCAGGAGAATTGAGGGAACAGTATATAGCACCCAACAGAGGCTAGAGAGGGGGATCAACTGAAATACCACTGTGAAATGTAATCAAATATAAGCAGTTGCACACTACAGATGTCAACTAAATCATCAAAATAGCTACATACAGTATGTAGCACAACAGTTTTGTTACCTAAAGTTAATTGCGTGATGTAAACGATGACCTGGGAGCCAGGTTTCAACTCGAACTCCACAGAGATCTGATTTAATGCGTTGACCAAGATTTCTGATATCTAGGAAGAAAACAGCATGCAGAAGAGTTAAATACAGACTTGTCATCTCATTGCCTGAAAAAAATATAATTGGTGCTTGCTCACAAAGATGCTATGTGTTTTGTGCATGTAGCTATGCAGTTAGTAAGGGTATTCTACGGTAGGATAAAATAAAATAAAATAATTATTTAAGGTATCATTCATGTCAATATAGCACAAACTATGCTGCATGTTTGGTAGCATACACTTTCAGAAAAAAAAAGAAGTACAAAAGCTATCACTGGGGCGGTACCTTTTCAAAAGGTACACTTTGTACCTAAAGGAACCATAATGGTAACTTAAAGGTACATATTAGTACCTGCAGTGTACATATAGTACCTAAAAGGTATATAAGTGTACCTTTTGAAAAAAAGGTACGGCCCCAGTGACAGCTTTTGTACCTTTTTATCTGAGAGTTTATGATTGCTCATATGAATCATCCATAAACCATATTCTGCACTCTTGTTTGTATCAAATACGGATCCTACTTTGATATAAGAGTGGAAATTATGCACATTTGAATCTATAATGTCAGACTTTGACAACCCGCAGTGCGACACACATACCCCATCCCTCGTATCAAACAGGACGGGTTCCAGTGAATGCCCAAATTATTTGTTACAGCTCTTTCTGCAGCTTCAATAACAATAAAATTGGCCAAATAGTAAAATGTGCTGTTATTCTTAAGAGTGTAATTTGCCAGTTGTGATTACGCCTGTGAGATATTAAAGAGTAGAGCTTAATTTTGTGAAATGGAAGTGTCAGTAGTGTGGGGTTGTGATAATTTGGGTTGTGGATCAAAGAGTTTAAGGGTTTATTTAAAACCCTAAACAGTTACTACTATTCAACATTTCACCCTCAAAAATGTAAATTCAAAAGCCCCTACTGTAAAAGACTCTTGTTGTGACACGTCCTTGTCAAGTAAGCCTAATTAGACACGCGTCTTTCTGCTAGAGATAATAATGCCTTTAAGGTTAAAGAAAAAAAAGAAAATAGGTAATAGGTAGAAATGTCAAACAATCCCCTTCAGAATATTTTTGACACATCGTCTCTTTTTGCGCTGACAATTACTTTCATTGTAGCCCCGGGTAGAAGCTGCTCTTTTATTCTGATAAAGGTCCATCATTCTCAAGCGCATTTCAACCTTGACCATTAATGAGAAACCATCAAATCTGCATCAGATCTCACCTGCTCCAGATCCTCCTCGGTCCGTTTCCTGCCATCCGACTGGTTCCTGGGAGGCAGCAGGAAGAGTTCGGCCGCAGTCGGAATGCCAGGAAACACGGCCACCAGCAGCTGTTCTTCCGGAATGTCAGCGACCTGGGTGGCGCAGGACAAAACGACACTCATTACATAATGCTCAATAATTTATATGTTACCGTCTCCAGCATTTACGAGGGTTACATTCATTTTAAACGAGGCTGATGGCTTCCAGTAAATTTGATTTGATGTATACAGAATGAAACCCAGCCAAGAAATTATTAGAAGCACACGCGCGAATGCAAATGGTTCAACACACGTTGAATTCCTAAAAACCTCAATCAATATCTTAGTCAGAGATCCACTACAAAGCCCAAAGGTCTAGACATTACGGGCTGCCGCAAAGCCAATAAAGGAAAGCCCACCTTGTATTCTCCCAGAGATACTCACCAAAGGCCATTTCCCTCATAAAGAGGAAATTATCCGACCTCAGGTAAATAATCTTTGTTTTATCTGGTACTACCACGCAGGGCTCGACCGGTCATAAGACAATAGCTCAGGAATAGACAGCCTAAGCATAATTTACAATGAGCAATGCGGCCAGAGCCGAAGCAGTCTTGCGAATCAATACTCTGAGTCTAAGTTTGTACCCACCGCTGCAATATTGGAAAAAGAAAAGCCCTGGAGCTCATTGAAGGATTCAGCCTATGTGCAACTGCTACTGATATTCCTAATGATTAATGCACATCTCCAAACTCCAGCCTTTGTTTCTTTCTTTCTCAACATGCTAGATTCGACACACACTCCGTCTGCTTGCGAATTAAGGTCCAAAAAGGCAATTAGACAGCAAAAGAGAGACATAATGTTGCAATGCTCTTAATTACACCCTGCTAATAGCTTAAGAGTCATAGTTGTAATTAAATCGCTTCTTGTCAAAACATTCCCTTCCCAGACTGAAGAACTATGGAATAACATTAAAAGGCACAGATGCAATAATCCATTATAGCAGAGGACAAAGTTGGTATCAAAGAGGTTGTTTAGACATCTGTTGTGTTTTCTGTCATTGCAGTTCATCTTTCCCTATTTAAGTGCTTGGCTGTGTCTATTATTGACTCTCTGCTAGAATGCAAATTAGCAGATTTACAGGCAAATTTAAACAATTCAACACTTCTAGTATTTTTCATTCAGATGTATAGTGCTATATATTAAAAAAAAAACATTACTGTCATCTTAACAGAGAGCATCCAAGGCATCAATGTCAAAGTCCTTGGGCATTTTTTAAAGCACAACACTCACAGATTAACAATTTACTGAGAATTATTACAAAGCGAGAAATTTGCACAGCATGGGCTGGGTTTTTGCTGGAGAATGTGCCGAAGTGTACTCTGGTCAGGCTGAGAGTCCACATTAGGGTAAATATGTCTGGATGTGGTGCAAATGGAAATGCAGTTGGTCCAGTAACAGGAAAACACATTCACTTATATATATAGACTGGAGGTTTGAAGATGAAAGTGTCATCCTGTTACTGGAGGAACTGAATTTATATTTGCACCAAATCTAGACATATTTACCTAAAATGATATACATATAAATACACACTACCAAAGTTTGTGGTCAGTAAGATTTTTGTTGTTGTTGTTTTCTCTTATGCTCACAAAGGATGCATTTATTTTGTTCAAAATACAGTACAACTAATATTATGAAATTGTATAATTAAATATTTTCAATATTAAAAAAATATATTTTTAAATATTACAAATATTTTAATATTTTATATATTTGCATATTTAAATTATATTTTAGATGATATTTTAGAAATATATTTTAATATATTTTAAAATTCATTTTATTCCTGTGATGACAAAGCTGAATTTTCAGCATCTTTAATTTAGTCTTCAGTGTCACATGATCCTGAAGAAATTATTCAAATAGTGTGATGATTCTTACATTGCTCAGCGACATGTCTTATCATTATCATTGTTGAAAACCACTATGCTGTATATATAGCAACATTTACTTAAAATTGTATTTAGAATAATTTTTTTAACAATGAAAAAGTCTTGTTACTTTTGTTCAATTTAATACATCCTTGCCAAATAAAAGTATTAATTTATTTAAAAAATGTACACTTTTATGATGCCATTAAGCTTCAAAAACAATGCAAAAGCAAAAAAAAAAAAAACATAATAAAAGTGGTCCATACTACTGATATGCCATATTCAAAGTCTTCTGAACTCAAACAATTGCTTTTCATTAGAAATTATGTTGGTATTGGTAACACCCTCCCTCCCCTGAAATGCCGCTATAAAATAATGAGGCTCCATTTTGGCACTTGTGCATATCATTACTCCATAAAATGTTGTGACGTTTAATGGATCATTGATGTCACAGGTACTAAAGGGTATTTGTGCCAACTCCCCCCCATGATATCCTATTCTCTCTATACCACACCCATCAATAAAAATGCCTAAAATAATAAACAAAACTTGGTCCTTCTTTCAGTATCAAAGTGTTTGTGATTCAAGTCCTGTGCTGACTCGGAGGCACCGGCTCTGCCTTTAACCCCTGCTACTGAAACCTTCTATTCTCATCTCCTCAGGCTGTTATACCACTATCGCCCCGGTGCAGAGAACAGACAGCCCCCTCCACTCACCTCTCCTGCCCATTGCCTCAAACAGCCGTCTTAAATGGACCTTGACTTTGATTATGTCTGAGCCTCGCTCTCCCTCTCTTTTTAATACACTGAGCTGTTTATCAGCACCAGTATGGATAAAGTGTATCTGCTACCTCTAGGGCACCACGGGATGTGCTTTAAATGCGAGAGGATAAATGAAAGAAACGGGAAAAAGCGAGTCTCTTTACCATGAGAGCTCAATATTAAGTCATTAGGCTTTGATGCTGATGCTTGATGTTGAAACAAAGAGGGGGAAAAGTTGGAAGAGGACAGTTTTACTTCTGGTGAATTCTGGGTATAGCCAGGGAATCTGAGGCCAGAAAGATAATGAGAGAGAAAGAGCACATGCAGAAGACGGAGGTGCATTTACGAGCAGATGTGAGATCAGTAGCCTCTTTGTGCTCAGCTGGTCTGACTTTGTTCTCAGGCAGATTCTGTTCTGTATGAAGGAGTTTAGATTTAAGTGTGATATTTAGGGATTTCTGTATTTTTGTGTTTTATGTCTGAAACAGAGAGAGAGAGTATATGGCTGGTTTGATGAGCACAGTCTTTCTAATGAAACAGGAAGCTGAAAAATCACTTCAAACCAGACTAAGCTGCTTTTATGATCTTAGCTGGTCTCTAATGGTCCATTTGCTGGTTTTAGATGGGTTTTGGGTACTTTGGGCAATGTGAGCACGGCTGGCTGCACCCCTAAACCAGCTACACTATTGTAAACCATCTCAAGTCTAGCAGACCAGCTTAGGCTGTTTTAAAGGGGTCATATGTTGCTATTTCAATTTTTCCTTTCTCTTTGGAGGGTTGCAAGCTCTTGGTGCATAAAGAAGATCTGTAAAGTTGCAAAGACTAAAGTCTCAAATCCAAAGAGATATTCTTTATAAAATTTAAGAGTCAGCCACGCCTACCTAAAACGGCTCGTTCTAACACGTCCCCACATATGTCTACATCACTATGTGGGAAGATTTGCATAACGCCGCCCAAATGTTCACGCAAAGAAAGAAGGCGTAACTTCTGTGAATGCACTGTGTGATTCATTGTGAAAGTGAAACTACTTTGTTTGGTCTTCCAAAAGAGGACGATATCTGCTTCGTAATGCCTGGAGCTGATCTGTGCTGGTTGCTGAGGAAATACTACAACTTTGAGCTGTGGATCACCGGATCGGCTTTCACCGTGGACGAAGCGGAGTCCAGCCCGGGGTCGTCACATGTGATTGCTGCAAGCCTGCCGGACGCTCCTTCATCGAATGCGCCGCCTCTGCTCACTCAGCCCGAAGGCCGTTCCTCACTTTATCCCCCGGCCTCTGCTCACTCAAGGCCGTGGTTGACGCGGTGTTTTGTTGTGAAAGTGAAACTACTTTGTGTGGCTTTCCAAAAATGGACACGACTAGAAATCAGTGGTTAAGTTGTATTTACAACACTGTTCCAGAACACTTTAACCCAAATATTCAGATGAGTGCAGCACATTTTATGGAGGACCGTTTCCTGATCCTGGGAGAGTAGACTACAATGCCGGCTGTTCTGACTCAAAGACTGTAAGTATGTTTTTTATATTTAATATATTTATATATTTAAAGCAAGTTTTTTGGGCATTGTAGAGTAGGGCTTGTTTGTTATTTCTCCGATCACAAATGCAGACATGGTTTTATGTTTACGCGGCACGATGCAACGCAACACGTAAAAAGACAGTACAAGTCATTATACAGTAATCCATAATTATGTCCCCACTGGATGCAACAAATGCCTCGTTTATAATGGGTTTTCATGTTTTTGAATCATCGCTCCGGCCTGACAGGGCATCATCACAGTATGTGAGGGGCATAACATTTCAGTCACACGCTTGAGGTATTCGGCCAATCATAATGCACTTGACTGGATAGTTGGCCAATCACAGCACACCTCGCTTTTCAGACAGATGAGCTTTGTAAAAATCGACACGTTTCAGAAAGGCGGGGCATAGAGGAGAAACAATAATTTCATTACACCAAATACAAAAAATAATGTTCTTTTTAGCAGCATTAATAGACCCCTTTAAGCATAAAAGGTGCATAAAAAAGAAACAACACGTGTTAAATTTATATACATTAAGTTTTATTTATTTATTTATTTGAAAGAAACATCTACTTTTATTTAGCAAAGATGCATTAAACTGATCAAAAATTATAGTTAAATATTTTCTAATGTTACAAAAAAAAATTGTTTCAAATAATTTTTTTTTTCTGTTTATTTAAGAATTAAGAAAAACATATATAATGGTTTCCACAAAAATATTAAGCAGCACAACTGTTTTCAACATTGATAATAATACAATTTATTGATTGATTGATTGATTGAAATGTATACTGTTATTCAGCAAGGATGCATTAAATGTATCAAAAGTGACAGTAAAAAAAAAATGTATCACAGTTTTCACAAAAACATTAAGCAGCACAACTGTTTTAACATTGATA